TGTGGATTTTCAGGGTGAAGCGGCCGCCGGGCTCTCCGCCTGTCTTCAAGGCGCGTTACGTTGCACGAGGCTTCAGTCAGCGAGAGGGAGTTGACTTCTTCCAGACCTTCTCCCCGACCCCAAAGATGACCACTCTTCGGGTTCTGCTACACGTCGCCGCTCAGCGTGACTACGAGCTCCACTCTCTAGACTTCAGCACAGCTTTCTTGCAGGGCAGCCTGCACGAGGAGATATGGCTGCGCCGCCCACCTGGCTTCACTGGGTCGTTCCCTCCTGGTACCCAGTGGAGCCTCCGGCGGCCAGTCTACGGTCTCCGCCAGGCGCCACGTGAGTGGCACGACACACTGAGGACTACACTTGCGGCTCTTGGGTTCGCTCCTTCTACTGCTGACCCGTCGCTGTTTCTACGCACCGACCCCTCGCTGCCGCCGTTCTACATCCTTGTGTACGTCGACGACTTGGTCTTTGCCACTTCTGACACAGTTGGTCTCGCTCACGTGAAGTCCGAGCTGCAGAAGAGACACACGTGCACAGACCTGGGTGAACTGACAAGCTATGTTGGCTTGCGGATCACCCGGGACAGAGCACGGCGCACCATCACCTTGACTCAGTCACACATGGTGCAGCAGGTCCTTCAGCGCTTCGGGTTCACGTACTCCTCGCCTCAGTCCACTCCTCTGCCTACGGGACACTCGCTCTCAGCTCTGCCTTCGGATGAGTCCGTAGAGCCGAGTGGTCCGTATCCAGAGCTTGTGGGCTGCCTCATGTACCTGATGACCTGCACTCGACCTGACCTTGCATACCCTCTCAGCATCTTAGCACGCTATGTCGCTCCCGGCCGTCACCGGAAGGAGCACATGGATGCAGCTAAGAGGGTGTTGCGCTACTTGTGCAGTACGTCGGGCATGGGGCTAGTGCTTGGAGGGCGAGACCGGCCTGTTCTCACTGGGCACTCAGACGCTTCCTGGGCAGACGACCAGGCTACTCAGCGGTCGTCCCAGGGTTACACCTTCAGTCTTGGCTCTGGCTCTGTCTCTTGGCGTTCTACTCGCTCTTCTTCTGTTCTCAGCTCCAGCTGTGAGGCTGAGATCTACGCCACGGCCATGGCTGCCCAGGAGCTTCGCTGGCTCACCTACCTGCTGACTGACCTTGGAGAGCAGCCTCGTTCTCCTCCAGTGCTGTACGTCGACAACAAGGCCACCATTGCCTTGTGTGGGGAGCACAGACTGGAGCACAGGACGAAGCACATTGCTCTGCGCTACTTTCTTGCTCGAGAGCTGCAGCAGCGAGGTCAGCTTTGTCTGCGTTACGTGGCCACTCGGGCCAACACTGCTGACGTGTTCACCAAGGCGCTTCAGCCTTGTGACCATCAGCGCTTCTGTACTGTTCTAGGCCTCGTGCCTACTGTGCCTCATTTGCTCACTTCTTGACTTTGCTTGTACAGTGATCTCTATATATATATATATATACCTACATGCTTACTCTTGCTAGGTTGTGATTACTGTATCTCTTGTTCTTTTATAAATCTGCATGTGAACTGGTCTTGTGACCGCTTGCTTGTGCTCGGAACTTGTGTGGTATCCTTGAGATCCACCCTGAGCTTTGTTTTGCTTTGACTGGTCTTGTGACCCCTTGTTCTCCCCCACTTTGCCTATGGGGGTGTGTCAAACATTGTATGATGTGCTTGTTTAGGCTACAGTGGGTTAGCCTATAGTGGGTACACATTTCTAGGGTAAGGTTTGACCTATTTGTACCCAACACTCATTCTAGTCATTCATTCTCGTTTCTGATTCTGACACGACCGTCAGATTCTATTCGAATCTCAACAACCCTAAGAATTGCGCCCAAAACCGTTGGAATTTGGAGCGTCGGATCGAATTTCTTCTCAACGGCCGAGATCGAACGCGAATTTTGATTAAGGAAGAAATACACGACCTACAAAGTCGGCGCTCATTATTTCTAAAGTCGATTCGATTTGCAGTAAGTCGATCAGCGCCTAGAATTCAATTATTTTCGTCGCAAATCTTCCTGTAAATTGTTAAATGGAGGAAGATGGTGATAATTCCGTACGAAAAATTACGGAGTTACACACCGACGTGGACCCGATGCGACCGGCACTCCAACGAATAGAGGAGCTTCTCGCGAACCAGTCGGCAGCCGCCACGGCAGCAGCGAACGTAGCAATGAATGCAACAGTGAACGTGGCTGCGAATACAGCAGCGAACGTGGCAGCGAATGCAGCAGCGACGCCAGCAGCAGCAGCGGCGACACCGAAACTTCAACTAGGAGCACCGGCAGCGGCTACAGTGAATCTTGAGGCAGCACGTCCGAGGCTACCGGAAAAGTTCAATCCAAATGCGAGAGACACCGACGTCCATCAATTCATTGCGACCCTTGAAATTTACTTTTGAGGCCTTTGGCTGTACGACCCCTGACGAGAAGTGAGAATGGAATCGATGAACTATGAAACAGTTGGGTACAAGTACTGACCCTAATTGGGTTGTACCCCTTATAGACTACCCCACTACAGCCTACACAAATGTATAAGCTATAATGTTCTGACACACCCCCATAGGCAAAGTGGGGGAGAACAAGTGGTCACAAGACCACTCAAGCAAAGCAAAGCAAAGCAAGCTCAGGGTGGATCACAAAGTCACCATACAGTCCGAGCACAAGAGTAAGGCCACAAGGCCAGTTCACATGCAAGGTCATATATATAAAGGTAAAACAAGCAAGGGCAGGTATAGAAAGAATACAGTACAAACAAGATCAAGAAGTGAGCAAGTGAGGCCAGGTAGGCACAAGACGTAGCACAGTACAGAAGCGCTGATGATCACAAGGCGGAAGGGCCTTGGTGAAGATATCAGCAGTGTTGGCCTCAGAGGCCACGTAGGTGAGGCGGAGCTGACCACGCTGCTGCAGCTCACGAGACAGGAAGTAGCGGAGAGCAATGTGCTTCGTTCTGTGCTCCAGTCTGTGCTCCCGACACAAGGCCAGCATGGCCTTGTTGTCTACGTACAGAACTGGAGGAGAACGAGGCGGCTCTCCTAGGTCAGTCAGCAGGTAGGTGAGCCAGCGTAGCTCCTGTGCAGCCATGGCCCCTGCGTAGATCTGAGCCTCATAGCTGGAGCCGAGAACAGAGGACGAGCAGGTAGACCGCCACGAAACAGAGCCGGAGCCAAGGCTGAAGGTGTAACCCTGTGACGACCGCTGCGTAGCCTAGTCGTCAGCCCAAGAAGCGTCAGCGTGACCTGTGAGGACTACTCGACGTCGCCCTCCAAGCAGTAGCCCCATGCCCGACGTCCTGCACACGTAGCGCAACACCCTCTTCGCTGCAGCCATGTGCTCTGGTCTGTGTCTCCCAGGAGCAACATAGCGTGCCAAGATGCTAAGAGGGTATGCAAGGTCAGGTCGTGTGCAGGTCATCAGGTACATGAGGCAGCCAACAAGCTCTGGGTATGGGCCACTCGACTCTACGGACTCATCCGAAGGCAGAGCTGAGAGCGAGTGGCGAGTAGACAGAGGAGTGGCCTGAGGCGAGGAGTACGTGAAGCCGAAGCGCTGAAGGACCTGCTGCACCATGTGTGACTGAGTCAGGGTGATGGTGCGCTGTGCTCTGTCCCACGTGATCTGCAAGCCAAGGTAGCTGCGCAGTTCACCAAGGTCTGTGCACGTATGTCTCTTCTGCTGCTCGGACTTCACGTGGGCGAGTCCAGCAGTGTCAGCAGTGGCAAAGACCAAGTCGTCGACGTACACAAGGATGTAGAACGACGGCAAAGAGGTGTCGGTGCGTAGAAACAGCGACGGGTCGGCTGTAGAAGGAGCAAACCCAAGAGCCGCAAGAGTAGTCCTCAGTGTGTTGTGCCACTCACGGGGCGCCTGGCGGAGACCGTAGACTGGCCGCCGGAGGCTCCACTGGGTACCAGGAGGAAACAACCCAGTGAAGCCAGGAGGGCGGCGCAGCCAGATCTCCTCATGCAGGCTGCCCTGCAGGAAAGCTGTGCTGAAGTCAAGAGAGTGAAGCTTGTAGTTGCGCTGAGCGGCTATGTGCAGCAGCACCCGAAGAGTGGTCATCTTTGGAGTGGGAGAGAAGGTCTGAAAGTAGTCAACTCCCTGCCGCTGACTGAAGCCTCGAGCCACGTAACGCGCCTTGAAGACAGGTGGAGAGCCAGGCGGCCGCTTCATCCTGAAGATCCACATCCCACTGACGATGTTCGCCCCAGGTGGGGGAACCTCGTTGGACCTAGGTGCCTGTGGACTTCCAGGAAGCCATCTCTGCGTCCATGGCCGACTGCCACTGAGAGGAGTAGGGACCCTCGATCGCCTCAACGCACGATCGAGGAGTCGGGATGTCTGGTGCATCCGGGTCTCCCTCAGGGGCAATCAGCGTGGACACGAGATGGGGCAAAGCAGCCGCAAAGCACTGGAACTCCTCCTGCTTGTCCTCAAGGACGTCCGTGCTAAGAGCACACTCACCCCCGACGGACGGAGGACAGACAGACTCAGACTCAGCAACAAGACTGGCAGTGTAGTTTAGACGACAGCGAGCAGCGAAGTCGACAAGCTCAGCAACTAGAGCAGACGCAGCATTGGACTCAAAGGAAGGGTCAGTGACAAGAGTAGCAAGAAGGCGCGTGACCGAAGGACTAGCAGCACGAAGGGAGTCAGACTCCGGGTCAGCAAGAGAAGGAAGAGAGGACTCTGGAGGAGACGGCAGTGGGACACGCTGAGGAGCAGTGGACGGACGCAGTTCCATTTGTGGTGTTTCCAGGGGACCGCAGGAGGACGCGGACGCGGAGCACGACGACTAGTGCGAGTAGCACGAACAGGCGACGCAAGACGAGACGCAGGCTCACGACGCTCAGCAAGACCTCCAGTAGGACCAGTGTAGGAAGAAGGAGCAGGTAGCGGGGAGGCGGGCTGTAACTGTGACTGCGACTGGACAGGCTGTGGACACTCTAAGGGAGGAGCAGGTGTCAGCCTGTCCGAGCACACGTGCACTAGGTCACTCGCTGACTCGCAGGAGTGAAATGGTCAACCCCTTGATCCTGTAGGTCCGCTCGACTCACCAAGCTCGTAGAGAACGAGGGGAGGTAGAGACTAGACAGGGTGCCATAGGGGGCTACAGGGCACGGAAGGACAGTGGAGAAGCTAGCAAGGACAGGACCCCCAGAGGGGTCTGCCAGGGAGACTGCAACCGGCCGACTAAGCGGCGTAAGAGTGGTGCGGTCTCGAAAGAAGGAGCGGGACGCACCCGAGTCCAGGGTGAAGGTGTGGAAGGCCTGAGCCGACGTAGTACCTCAGAGAGCAGACTCACCAGCACCTTGGGCGGCAGACGCACTGGCACCTGGGGTAGTAGACGCACTAGCACCTAGAGCAGCAGCCTCACCAGCACCTAGCGCAACAGCCTCAAAGCCCAAGTCAGGCGGTACACACATGTAACAGGCACCCTCAACACTATCAGCATTAGCATACATGGCAGCAAGGATAGCATCAAAGTCAAGATCAAAGATAGCAACCCGGGCCTTAGCCAGATCTCCCCAGCGAGGGATCTCTGACGCCTCAGGGAACTGGCGACGGCACGCGTCCGTCAGGCGACCGAAGCAGCGCTGGGTGGAGTGCGGGCCTCCGCAGTGCTCACCAGTGCGGTCGTCGGTACAGAGAACGTAAGGGCAGGGACCAAAACTCCCACCGCACTGGCGTGAAGTGTACCACTCACGAAGCTGCTGAGGGGACAGGGTTACACCACTCCGCTGCTGCTGCTGGCGCTGACCACCACCGGCGCCACTCCGCTGCGCAGAGTCGCGACTCGCTCCACTACCGCCGCCTCCGCCGCCGCCGCCTCCGCCGCCTCCTCCACCTCCGCCTCCTCCACCACCTCCGCCGCCTCCGCTCCCGCCGCCACCTCCGCTCCCTCCGCCACTTCCACCGCCTCCGCCGCCTCCACTGCTGCCGCCGCCGTCGCCACCCCCGGCACCACTCCCACCACCACCCCCACTCCCTCCACCGCCTCCACCACCACCTCCACCGCCCCCTCCAGCCCCTCTAGTGCCCTTGCCCCCCTTGCCCTTGCCGGTGCGGCGTCTCCCGCTCGGGGCAGACGCAGCGCCGACTGACTCGAAACCAACGAGGTCGGCCGCAGCAGCAGAGGCAACAGAGGGCAAGAGGGGGGAGGGAGAACACCCCTCAGAGACGGGGGTGCGAGGGTCACCATGAGAGGCTCCTAAAGCGACTATGCTCCCGGCTGCTGGGCGGCTCGGCTGCTGGGCGGCTCGGCGGTCGGGCGGCTTGGCGGCTCGGCTGTCGGGCGGCTCGGCTGCTGGGCGGCTCGGTGGCTCTGCTGCTGGGCGGCTCGGCGGCTCCGCTGCTGGGCGGCTCGGTAGAGGCGGCGTCGAGGCCGCGTAGGAGGCGGCGTCGGGGCCGCTTAGGAGCGGTAGCGGGGCCACGGAGGGGCGGCGACGAGGCCGCACGAGGGGGGCGACGGGGGCCGCTAGAGAGCGGGGACGAGGCCACAAGAGGGCGGCGACGGGGGCCGCTAGAGGGCGGCGACGTGGCCGCGAGAGGGCGGCGACGAGGCCGCGAGAGGCGGCTGCAGGGCCGCTACGAGCGGCGACGGGGCCGCGAACGGCAGCGACGGGGCCGCGAGAGGGAGGCGACGGGGCCGCGATAGGGCGGCGACAGGGCCTCGAGAGGGCGGCGATGGGGCCGCAAGAGGGCGGCGACGGGGCCGCGATAGGGCGGCGACGGGGCCGCAAGAGGGCGGCAACGGGGCCGCGATAGGGCGGCGACGGTGCCGCGATAGGGCGACGACGGGGCCGTGGAGGAGGGGCCGCTGAGGGCGGCGCGACGGGCCGCTAGGAGAGCGGCGACGGGGTCGCGAGGGGCCGTGAGAGAGGGGGAGGGCCGCTGAGGGCGGCGCGACGGGTCGCTAAGGGGAGGGCGGCACACTGGGCGTGACTCGGTCAGGAGCGACTCGATCTCATGGCATGAAAAAAAAAGTCTAAGTTCAGTGGTGGGCCCTAGGCAGTATTCCCACTCGGGAACCTGCTCGATACCATGACGAGAAGTGAGAATGGAATGGATGAACTATGAAACAGTTGGGTACAAGTACTAACCCTAATTGGGTTGCACCCCTTATGGACTACCCCACTACAGCCTACACAAATGTATAAGCTATAATGTTCTGACAACCCCAACATACGATGCAATGCGGATTCGGCTCGCAGCGACACTATTGCGAGGCCCGGTGCTCGAGTGGATTTATAATAGCAACGAGGTTCGAGGCGAGGGGTCATGGACGTAGTTTTGGGCGGCTTTACCTCAACGTTTCAAGCCGATTAATTCGAGCTACATGGCGTGGCAGCAGATTTATCGGCATAAACAATACGGCAATGTTACACAGTACACATAGCAAATGGAGGGCCTCTTCAACCGAATTACCGACCTGACTGAAAGGAAAAAATCCAAGCGTATACTGAGGGGCTAAAGATGGAAGTCCGCCGACAGGTGATTGTCGCGAACTACAACAACTACCGTGACATGGTATGTGCAGCAGAGAGATTCGATGTGCTGACGCGAGGTCAACTTGAGGCACGACGCCATATGCCAAAGAGATCATTCAACACGAAGCGATCGACACGTCCCACGACCGCCGACCCGATGGATATCGACAAGATCGACGCCGAAAAAATATGAGAGCTGCAAATTTTGTGGCGCAGTAGGACATCGATTCTTGGCGTGCTGGAAAATGAAGATGGCATGAGCGGAGCTGCAGGGCAACAACAGTGCTGCACCCCCGAAGTAAAAAAGGGAATCGCAAGTAGCCACAGATCAACCTAGCGATCACGAAAATATTCGGGAAAGGTGAAAAGGCGACGACGTGGCGACTTCGGAGCGGGCCAAAAAAAGAGGACATGATGGCGCGAAACTAAAACATCACGACCGGCGGGCAACACGGAAAATTGCCGAGACAAATGGAGGCTCCGCAAAACAAGACTATGTACCGACCGGAAAGCTCCAGCGGAACACCCACAAAAGTACGAGTTCGTTAAAGATATCCTAAAAAGATACTTTAACTAAGAATATTACTTCTCATGGTTTTCAAGCCTCTGAGAAATTCAAGGGAGACTTAAAGGCTAAGAAATAGCCCTTAGTGATTATTAAGGTACCTGAGAAGTTGGGCAAACCACTCCGGAGCGTTGAAAAGGGTCGTGCGTTCCGAGGAGTTAATATTCTCTCCCCGCAGCACTGTGTTAAGGCCACAAGAGAAGCCTACACAGCTGCAAAGGCTTAGGGGAAGGTTCCAGGCCGAGATGGAGCTGAATTGGCCTCGGATAAATCCTTCTAACCCGAATCAGTTGATAACTGATATGGAGTCAGCAGCTTTGAGCGCAGGACCGAGGGATGATCTATTTGACGTACCCTACGATCCTATAAGCGAGACCATCTACGGTTACTCAGAGCAGCAACAGCCACTACTACTCGAGATGATCTGCAACAGACGACGCCTCTAGGAACTAGTGGACAGTGGTGCGTCCCACTCGGTGTGCAACCGCGAGACGTCAGAGAAAATAGGAGAACCTTTGGATGAGACCAAGTTCACAGCAACGATAGTGGACGGTACGAAACTTCCAATCCACGGCAAAGTATCACTGCAGCTGCGCATAAGGGCACTGGGGTGGAAGCCAACGTTGCCAATCATGAAGATGAAGGGTTTAGATTTCATCTTGGGGCGAGAATTCTTGAAGTGGTTCAACCCTAAGATCGACTGGGTCAACCGAAAGGTGTGCATCTACAACAACGGGAAACGAGTGGAGCTGAGAAGCTGGACGGGTATAGGGGACGTTATGAAACGAAATTAGCACTGCTCGAACGGACGGTGAACGAGAGGGACACAGGTTGCTTAGCACTGGTTATGGTGGCAGCAAAAGAGGAGAAGCCGAACACAGAGCTACCTGCAACAGTTAAGGAGGTCTTGGAGCAGTACAAGGATATAATGCCCGACGACCTACCTGCAGGCGTACCTGCAGGCGTACCTCCAGCACGCACCCACGAGCAGAAGATCGTGGAGGAACTAGGCGCGAAACCCGTCTCACTTGCACCATACCGACTGAGTCCAACAGAACTGACGGACATGAAGAAGCAGATAGAGTATCTACTGGACAGACAGCTGATCCGCCCATCCACCTCTCCCTACGGTGCACCAGTTCACTTCACTCCAAAACCAGATGGTAGTTTACCCAGTCTAGATGTGCATCGACTACCGCGCCACTGACCGACCTACTGAAAAAGGATACGCCCTACAAATGGGATACTCCTCATCAGCAAGCCATGGAGCAGCTACAGACAGCACTGACTACAGCGCCAGTATTCATCATACCGGACCCAAACAAGGACTACTTGGTGGAAGCAGACACTAGTGACCAAGCAGTTGGAGCAATGCTGATGCAGGATCACGGACGCGGTTTGCAGCCCATCGCCTACCTCAGTAAAAAGCTACATTGAGTAGATCTTAACTACCCCATTCATCACAAGGAAGCCTTAGCCATAGTTGTAGCCTTCAAGGCGTAGAGGTGTTACTTAGAGGGAGCCAAAAACACAGTCTATACTGACCACTGCAGCCTCAAATACCTGATGTCGTAGCCGACGCTCTCACGACGACAGGAGCGGTGGGAGGACTTCTTGGAAAGTCACTTCCACTACGACATCGTCTACAAGCCTGGGCTACACAACAAGGCAGACACGTTGAGCCACCCCAGACATGTAGCAGGCATCCAGCTCGACGAAATAAACCCTCTACTCAAGAGTGTATTTCAACATGGGTACTCCGTGGACGCAGAGATTGCTACAGCACAGACAAAGAAGTTGTTACAGTAGGAGAAAGACCTAGCTGTAAGGAAGGGCACACGAAAGATTTGGGTACTGAACTATGCCCCGCTTCGGCAGATCCTGCTGGAGGAGTTTCACGACGTACCATACGCAGGACATTTCGGGAGCAACAAGATGTTAGCAGGGATAGCGAAGCATTACTACTAGCCCGGGATGGCAGCAGACATGCAACAGTTCGTCACCTCATGCGACACGTGCCAGTGGATGAAGAGTAGCAAGCAGAAAAACGCAGGGTTACTTCAGCCTATACCCATACCGGAGCAGCCATGGCAAGTCGTTAGCCTCGACTTCATCACAGGACTTTCTTCGACCTCATGAGGGCATGACCCTATACTCGTGGTGGTCGACAAGTTCTCCAAAATGGGTCACTTCATCCCAACCAACGCCACAGCTACAGCTGAAACAGCTGCTTGCCTCTTCTTCGACCGCATCATCACCATCCACGGCATCCCCGCTACACTCATCTCAGACAAAGACCCCAAATTCACGAGTAAGTTGTGGAAGAAGCTCATGGGACTATTGGGGACTAAGCTTGCGATGTCTTCAGCATACCACCCCCAGACTGACGGACAGACAGAGCGACTCAATCAAGTGGTTGAACAATTACTGCGCACAACTTGCAAAGACGACATCACCCACTGGGACACACAGTTACCAACCCTAGAGTTCGCTTACAACAACGCGTCACATGCGGCCACAGGGAAAACTCCTTTCTTCCTGTATTATGGACGGGAACCATTTACACCACAGCAGCCAACCACACCGGCACACGTCCAAGCCGCACATGAATTCATCACCACCATGCAACAGCTATGGGAGAAGACTCAGCGACGTCTCACCACAATGCAGAACTCCCAGAAGCAATATGCCGATCGCAAGCGATGTGATCACTCAGTAGCACTCGAGGATCAGGTGCTTCTCGACACGCGCAACTTGAACCTGTCTCACCTACCCTCCAAGCTCTGGCCTTGCTTCATGGTCCTTTTCTCGTTGAGGCGATGGTGACACCAGTTACATTCCGCTTGCGCTTACCTACTACTTGGAACCTTCACAATGCTTTCCATGTTCAGCTACTGAAGCCCTACAAGGATCCTAACTAACAGTTCCAGGGACGGCAGCTACCGCCACCACCACCTCTTTTCATCCAGGATGAACCGGAGTACGAAGTGGAGCACGTTCTCAATCCTCGGCACCGCAGCGGCAAGACCCTTGAGGACAGTTGGGTTGCAGAAGCTGATATGGGCAACGCACGTCGTGCTCTCAAGGTCTATCTTGTCAAGCAGGGTGTATCTCACGCCACCCAGCTTTGAGGGGGGGATGTGTGAG